TAGTGGCAAAGGTACTCGACTGCTAACCCGCACGTTGCGGGATCAAATCCTGGCTGCGGCGGCTGCATTTTACAGTGGAGGGGAAAATGTAGGCCCGTGTGCTCACATTTGGGTGCACGTTAAAGAACCCCAGGTGGTGAAAATTTCCGAAGCCCTCCACTACGGCGTCTCTCATAATCATATGGTGGTTTTGGGACGTTAAACCCGGCATACCAATCAAATGTGAAATATGGAGTCAAAGTCAACATCAGCGGGGCTCCACGACATCTTTTATGAGCGTAGCACTCGAGGGTTCCGGCTTGTCGTCCATCTATGAATCCATGCTGAATCTAGCCACTCATTTTATGAGGGAAGGGGGAGGGGGGCAGTCACTTGAAGTAACACCAGAATTTTCAGTCGCACAAGAACTTCATTATAGCACAATACTGTTGATGTCTGATCACAATGGTACCCCTCACTTGTCCTCATTGGGTCCAAAGGGGGAAGCGATCGCCACTCCCCCTTTGGGTCTGCCACTGTATGAATCGAATCTCACGTGGCGTGCCGGTAACGCTCACAGTATCGTGCTCAATACAGACTATAACAACGCTACAAACGTTCATAACCAGGTCAGAATTAACGAGCAACGTATAAAATAGCATAATTAACAGAAGTAATCAAGAATGAACTTAAACTGCTGGAAAACGTTTCGGAAACATGTGACTGACTCTGGCGCCGCGCGAGAGGGCACCACCGTCTCGCAGGCGGCACACTATTTCTCTTTTCACTTACTCTCCACGGGGCTACATCTGATAGGTTTAAACAGCCTGACGGAACTGGCTCCACACGACACGTGTCTCAACCGCCGGTACGAGCAGACAGTCCTTAAATGCAGTAAAAAGTAGCCCACATGTCACAGGGCCAGTTTGCGACGATTTCCCTGACGGGATTCTATTCGTGCTGAAGAAATCCTAAAGGCTTACACCAAGAGTTCACGTCACTGATGGTTTGGTAAATGGAGCAGTGGGAACTCAATGAACGGGAATAGCCGGGTGCCCGTGCTATGCACTTCCTCAGGTTTCACAGCAGTGGGGATGACATTTTATCGTCCGGGAAATAGTCAGTGTATAACCTAGCTTTCACAGGGGTTTATGAGTCACACTGCGATCTTTGCATTCGCGGGCACTGTAACGATAATTAGAGGTTTATAGGTCAACCGTAAGCGGCCCTCAAATAAGCTTGGGATAAGCGTATGGTTTCTCGAGAAGGGCGTCATTTTCGAAGTGTAGCGCTTGTCCTGAAAAAAAAAAAAAAAAAAAAAAACGAGGCACCGCGGGAACGTAACACACCTTTTAAGGCGGCGTGCTGCTTTGACTCTCTGGTTGCGCAAAGGGGAGAGGAGGTTCATGGTTCCTCGGAGTGAGATAACTACCCTTTCGTTGTCATTTCTTCTCAATGCTGATAGAGAATAGAATCAGTTTTATGGGTCTGTGGCAAGCAACTATGATCCCGTACATTGTCAAAATATATTTTTTTCTTTATTAATTCATCACCTAGATTTAGTCACTGTGTAATTTTGTGTTTGTTGTACTACTGTGATTCGCCTTATGCATTTACTGAGCATATTAATCTGTGCTATAGATTAATATTATGCCCTTATAAGATAATGCACTACGGAGTATTGTGTAACACTTGTTAATTTTATATTAAAATTTTTGTCTCATTAACAGACTCATATATTTGTGTATGATAGCCAGTCCCCCCTATAGTGTAGCGCGTATTGTGAGGGTAAAAAAAATAAAGATGTTGGTGCAGAACGGGTATCCACGAAAAACAAAAATCAGAAGTGAGCTTCTGAAATACTCCTCAAGTCACAAAGTTTACACTGAAGAATGTATAAAAAAGAATGAGAGAGGGAGAGGGTACCTATACGGCGTGATCACAATACACCTGTCTGGGCAAATTGAAGATGTAATTATGAGGCACACTGTCCTGGTGAATTGCAGATTAGCTTTAACCACCGGGGTTCCTTCCAAATATAGCCCAAATCAAAGTATACGCGGGTGTTTTTACATTTCGGCTCCAACGAAAGGCAGCCGCCGATCTCCGGGAAGAAGCGCGACACCTTAGTTGCCAAGCCAGCCCGGTGGTTGCCCGGTCAGTTTCTTCATATTTGAGAACAACAAACCATGCCGCTAACTAAATGACGGGCTGTGCTGGTCCGACTCACGCGCGGGCCAGGACATGAACCATGTGAAAATGCATGTAACTTCCAAACTTGGGCACGATAGGTTTGCACCGCCAGGGATACAATGATTGCACGTTATTCTGTTTAAGGATGGCGGTAAGCAGGGTTTGAAGTCAGAAACGGAGGGCAGGGGGGCCCGGCCCCTTTTCCAATTTTTCTTAAAGGGAGTGCTCAGCCCACCTTAGTAGGTCGACTGTGGCACTGCTGCACGCATTTGACAAATGCTGGTGTTGATATTTTGGGTCAGTTATAATATGTACGGAGGAATTATAACTCTAATGTATTTATTTTTAAGCATTCCTAAGCATTGTTCAATTTTAAAGACAGTTGGCTTTACTATATATGGCGATACCAAATCGGCTATATATATATATATATATATATATATATATATATATATACACGGAGTTAGACAAGGAGAGCAGAAAGGTGGGTCTTAAAATTAATCTGCAGAAAACGAAAGTAATGTACAACAACCTCGGAAAGGAGCAGCGCTTCGAGATAGGTAATAGTGCACTTGAAGTTGTAAAAGACTATGTCTACTTAGGGCAGGTAATAACCGCAGAGCCTAACCACGAGATTGAAGTAACTAGAAGAATAAGAATGGGGTGGAGCACATTCGGCAAGCACGCTCAAATTATGACAGGTAGATTGCCACTATCCCTCAAGAGGAAGGTATATAAGAGCTGTATCTTGCCGGTACTTAGCTACGGAGCAGAAACCTGGAGACTTACAAAGAGGGTTCAGCTTAAATTGAGGACGATGCAGCGAGCAATGGAAAGAAAAATGGTAGGTGTAACCTTAAGACACAAGAAGAGAGCAGAGTGGATTAGGGGACAAACGGGGGTTAAGGATATCATAGTTGAAATAAAGAAGAGGAAATGTACATGGGCCGGGCATGTAGCGCGTAGACAGGATAACCGCTGGTCATTAAGGGTAACTAACTGTATTCCCAGAGAAGGGAAGCGGGTTAGGGGGAGACAGAAGGTTAGGTGGGCAGATGAGATTAAGAAGTTTGCGGGTATAAATTGGCAGCAGCAAGCACAGGACCGGGTTAACTGGCGGAACATGGGAAAGGCCTTTGTCCTGCAGTGGACGTAGTCAGGCTGATGATGATATATATATATATATATATATATATATATATATATATATATATATATATATATATATATATATATATATATATATATATATGCCCCGCCGTGGTGGTCTAGTGGCTAAGGGGCTAAGGCACTCGGCTGCTGACCCGCAGGTCGCGGGTTCAAATCTCGGCTGCATTTCCGATGGAGGCGGAAATGTCGTAGGCCCGTGTGCTCAGATTTGGGTGCACGTTAAAGAACCCCAGGTGGTCGAAATTTCCGGAGCCCTTCACTACGGCTATATATATATAATGGATTATGAAGAGTCTGGCTTCGGTTGCCGTTGAATTAGGGGAAAGTAAATATACGCTTCTAAAAACTGTTTATTGTTGATGTTTTGATCTGAGACCGATCTTCATCAGACCATATATATATAGGAAAACTTTCGGGGATATTTAACAATTCTCTATGGCATGTCATCAAAGCCTCGCTGTTGCTTTGGAACCGTTTCACGTCGTCAATATTTTTTGTCGCTTCTCTCTGGATCACTAAAGAGCTCAGTTTATACCTGTCGTGACGTGAATTTGTTGTTCGGCGAATGACAAGTTCGTACTACGACGCAAGCACTCACGTGACGCGCGTGGCCTCGAGACGAGAGCGCAGCAGCTGCAATTTTCGGCGTCGTGTTCCCCTCCGTCTGAACATTTGTCGGAACCGCAGAACCGCGCACACAAGGCCGCACTGTCGGCACCGTGTTCTCTCAGCACACTCGCATGTAACGGGTCTCCGCTGGCAGGCGGCGTATCGGAAACAGCTCTCGTATTTCTGTTGCGCTCGGGCACGACTTGCCTCAGCCGTGTAACGGGCGTGTGGCGAAACGCATCGCCTTTTTTTTTGCGCGCGCAACTAGTGCGATGGTTCGTCGCTACGCGTAGCGCTGATTCGAACCGTCTCTACTCTGCGGCTATCTCAAAGTGACTGAGCGCAACGCGAAGGAAGGAAGCGTACGTTTCATCTGTCTTACAGACATGACTTCGAAAACGTCGGATGCTGCGCTAACGAAGCTTTTCGCCCGTAAGTGTTTTTTGCGGTCGGAAAGTTGCCTCCTATAGTAAGTCCAGTGTCAGGATTGCTTATAGGTTTTGTCTTAGAAAATATCGTTGGGGAAAAAAAAAGTTTATCATTGAACACGAGCCTAGAAGGCCACTGCTACGCGTTGGTGTGATCCAGTAGCTGCACACAACTTCTCATGATAGACTAAAGAAGAAGAAAGCAGGTTCTTGAAGAAGCCATCGTTGACGCCGTCACCAGGATCATGGTAGCGCCAAAATATGTTGTGCGGGCTTTCCGGCGTACAGACGTCCGGACGTGGCTTCATCTAAACGAAGACAGCGAAGGAGGTGACACTTTGGCCTGAGTAAAGAGTAGCACACAAAAAGCGAGCTCAGCACACCTGACAGCACAGTAAAGACTAAAAAAATCATCGTCGTGTCACGGCCGAGGCACAACTATCCGTGGACGAGAAGGAAGCGGACTTCGATAGCACGCTCACTACCGCCACAGGACCGCACGTGCGGTTATGGTCGACCTTGCTCGCGCTCAGCTTCCCTTTCTCAAGTGAAGGTGGCCCTTCGTATTTTGGCGTTCGTCGTGGCCGAGGAAAACAAACAAAAAAAAAACCTGTCTCGGCCCTCTAAGCCATTGCTGTCGCGTGGGTTCCCTCCCTTGGCATCATTGCCTGGGCGGTGGTGGACAGGGAGCGTACATCGCAGTTCTCGACTTGTCGCATACCTAATTCCGGGTACGGGAACAGTCAAGTCCGGTTGGAGGCAGTGCACCTGTCCTGTTGTAGCTGTTCACGAGCGAAAGGCCTGCCCGCACTGCCCTCTCGTCTCGTGGCGACGACCGGCCGTACCGAAGGAGAGAAGGGGTTACCTCCGCTGCCAGCGCTCCTCCGTGAAACAACCTTCCTTCGCAGAACACGCTCGCGCTGAGCGCGCGGCCACTTCAGCGTAGTTTGGCGCCAAGCAGGGACGGCTGCAGCAGGAAGGGCTCCGCTCAAACGACACTCGAGTCCACGACCGCCATCGCCGAGCAGCGAGAGTCATGCGGTGAGAAGAAAAGTGGCGCGCCGGACTCCCGCTTTCTGCCGTCTGAGTGGGTCCGCGGCAGAGGAAGTCCCGGACAGCTTCTCGCAAGGGCCGTGAAATCGGCACACATTTTCTTGTTTATTCCGTGCCACGGGCGGCCACCAGTCTCCCGCCGCAAGTGTGTGCTCCGTGAAGTCGACGAGTAGGACGCCACGCGGCTTGTGGCGGTCCTGCTTGCGGCCCTGCCTCGGGGAAGACTACACGTTCGCAAGCCTGCGTGGACGTTGTCTACAAAAACTAAGATGGATTCCGGCGCAGTTCTTCTCAACGTTTCCAAGTTGGAAAACGACGCGCCGCCAAAGTGCTTCGACAACATGGCACTGGACGTCCCAAACGGAGTTATCGACGACGTGATCCGTAAGTGCCATGAATCTCACACTTTCTTGCTGTCCAGACACATTTCGAAAAGCATTCCCTGCAATGATTTATAGAAGCACAGCGCGTGCAGCGGCACTTGAGCACACACATCATGTTGTTTGTGAGATTACCGTAAAGGCACGTTCAGTTTTTGAGAACTTTCGCTGATATAATTTGCACATGATGCGTCTTAGCGTTACAACTACTTCTTCAGGTGCTTCTGCACTAGTCCACTGGTGAATTTGTTATGGTATCGAACACAACTGCAGCGGCGCAATCATCGTTACCGACTCAATCGCGCCCGCTCGTCCTGCATGGAAATGCACTTGAAGTGTGCCTCAGTAAAACAAGGTGATACGATACACAGCAATTGTTCACCACCTCAATCACAAGGAAGTTTCGGCATAACATGCACCATCATAAGCGCAATGCGCGGAAAGACGCTGGTTCCACTTCGTCCAGAAAACCCGAGATATTGACGCGTGGGTTGCATCTCTCGTTCTACTTCTTTCCTACATCTCTGCGCTGTATTCATGGCATGGTTTTAGGTTTCAGTCAGGCGGCTCTGGCAAATGTCGTATTTCACAACGAGCTTTGTTTTTTCAGTTTCATAAACGTCCGGTGATCCGAAGCGCGGGCCGCGGAAGTTCTGCTTCCTGGGTTCGATATGTGAGCAGCCTGGCTTCAACCTCTTGCATCGCAACCTGAACAGCCCCGACAACATATTTTTTAGCATTGTCACTTTTATAACCTTTCAAAGCACAATTTGAAGTTCTTCGACATATGAATAAAGACCGCGCCTGTAGTGCCGGCAGCCGGCATATCATCCCGGAAAAAAAAGTTGCCGACAGTTTCTCCCATGACTATGTGACTTATCTGCCGCCCATTTCTGGTGAGGCTGTCATGCCGCCGATACATGGGCCGGCAGAATAAGGGCTGCACGTGTAGTGCCGGCAGCTAGCATAATGCACCAGAAACCAGTGACATTTTAGCGCAACACTCCCACACACATTTAGCAACACTGATCACCATTGTCAAGGACAGTCAAAGACCTGAGCTTCCCATCAGTTGGCCAAGGCAGGTCGGTGGAGTCGACCCGGTCTCTAAGCATTTGCCGACGTAGCCGCTGGAAGTGACGTGAAAAACATCGAGTACGTTTTGTTTGTGACGTGAACATATAACCTAACCTCGTTACTTGCAACCCTCCTATAGAAAAGAACTGCCGGCATTCGGTCGACTGATATATTGTGCCGGCAGCCGGCAATATAGACACTACCTTGTTTAATAAATATAACTAACAAGTCGTAGTTACCAAAAGGCACTAGATAACGTTCCAACAATTCATTTACTAATGACGTTTTTTGCTGCACGCCTCCATGCCCTCCGGCGGCAGTACAAAGGTGTTATGAGGCAACATATAAGATATACTAAGCTACCAAGCGAGTCTTCAGACATAATCTGGCTCCAGTGTTGTTAGTGTAGCCGACTTGTGTTTACATATGAGCTTCGCTGTGAAAACCGACAAGCCAGTGTACTAGAATGAACAAGTGCATGGCGCGTCAGTGTACAAAACAGTACGATTTAGAAAATAATTATTCCAACCAAATTTAACCCTCTCCTGTAGTCTTTTTTCCGACAGATGGGATACTTTAGAAGTTATAGCTTGGTAGAGGGAGAAAGAAAAAAGCCTGACTGCAGCACAATCGTAATGGCCTGAGAACAGCGCTAGGCAAAGCTCACGCACTGTTTTGATCTTTACATGCAAATGAAAAAAAAAATGGCAGCATATCCATGGAGTGAATGATGGAGAGTGGGGCGAAGCATTCGTCCGTCCATTCGTTCTTGCTTCCGTTCGTCCTTGCGTCCGTTTGTGTGACCGTCCATGCGTCCATCCATCCGCCCGTCCGTGCATGCGTCTGTTCGTGCGTCTATCCATGCATCTGTTTGTGTGTCCGTTCGTCCATCTATTCAACACTACAAGTACCACCATCTCGCATCTTTTCATCATATATTCCACATATAGAAGCACCGCGATCCAGCGGACATTGCAAGGACTAAACAAGAGGTGGCACACGCACACTTTCTTACGGCTTGCGCTTCGGGTCTACTTCCCACCTTTAACCACCTCGAGTTCATGGTATATACTAGTTCACTGTATTCATGGCACTGCGGCCCAACGCTCGCTAAACCTTTCTAAAACCAAGAAGGTTACGCCCAGCGAGTATAACGTAGCAACCTTTTCCTGTCAGATAGAGCTCAATGTACATGCAATGGCTGCTAATGAGAAATGAGAGACAGGAGAATTCGGCTTTTAGTTAACGCGCACGCCGCGAACTTTTTATTGTTCAACAAAGCACAGGAGAAATCTCCCACCGGCACCACCTTGCAGGTCAAAATGTAACACTGGTTACACACTACGACTACGACTACGAGGGATGAACGGGTTCCGTTTTAGGATTACCATTTCGAGATGAAAAACAACAACAGCTTTAAGCACAACGCACACAGAAATGGCACAATGCTGGACTAACAACACAGCTAGAGACAGCACAAAGGTAGAGTACCAACAGGAAGTCGTTTAAAACATCCGCCAATCACTGCAGAACACACACACACACACACACACACACACACACACACACACACACACACACAAACACACACGCACGCACACACACACACACACGCGCGCGCGCGCGCGCACACACACGCACACACGCACAAAATAAGTAATCTAATAACGAACCACTCGAAATGGTAGATTTCAGGAAGTAATTTTCTTATCACTGAGACTGGTTTTTCCTCTTCAATCATACGTCGAATGACCCAGCCCTCGACATTGCTGCTTTCATTTCAGCGTAGATAGAACACTGAAGTAGACAATGACGATTGGCTCCAGTCCGCCAAATTTGCAGCTCTGTGCAATAAGAGTTAGCTAAAATTGACTATTGCGTAAGATTACACATAGTGGTTTCTTACGAAAAAAAAAATGAAATACTCGCCCCCCCCGCTCCCTTTCTTTTTCGTTTGTGACACTACTCTATAGCCCAAACAAATATTGCATGTCACAATGTTCTGGCCTGCTCCTGTACCTTTCTGTATTACTCGCCGCGTTGGTCACGGTGCTAAATTGCTGACGGGAAGGTCGTAGGATCGAATCCCAGCAACGGCGGCCGCATTTAGATGGAGGCAGCATGCTATAGAGGCCCGTGCAATCAAATTTCGGTGCTTGTCAAAGAACCCCGGGTGGTGTTCGTCAATGTACGCCTTTGTGATTTAACGAGCGCTATTATCCCTCAATGTGCTGATATCATTTGACAGACAAGGAAATATAACTACAAAACTGCGCGAAAAGGCGACAATAAACAGAGAAGGCACACACCCAAGCGCAGACTAGCAACTGAAAGTTTATTCGAGGATATTGAAGGTTTATTGTGTATCCTTGAATAAACTTTCAGCTGCTAGTCTGCGCTTGTGTGTGTGCCTTCTCTGTTTCTCTTCGCCTTTTCGCGCGGATTTGTTGTTATGAATTACCAACTCGCCCAGTGTTTAGTACTTTCAATAAAATATGTCTAGTGCAGTGTGACTTAGTGTGTCAACTTGTGTTAATTTGAAATAATACATGGCCGAATGATATTTAATGAGCGCACAGCTCCTCTATATGTCGATATATGTCACCTCGCCGCGGTGGTCTAGTGGCGGCTGCTGACCCGCAGGTCGCGGGCTCGAATCCCGGCTGCGGCGGCTGCATTTCGGATGGAGGCGGAAATGGTGTAGGCCCGTGTGCTCAGGTTTGGGTGCACGTTAAAGAACCGCAGGTGGTCGAAATTTCCGGAGCACTCCGCTACGGCGTCTCTCATAATAGTGTGGGGGTTTTGGGACGTTAATCCCCACATATCAATCAATCAATGCCGATATATGTCTTCGTATTTACACTTCGAGTTGTGTGTCCTAACCACCTTGCAAACTCCTTGTGGACGCGTTTCCTACTTGTGTGACACAGCAAAAGATTGTGAACCATTTACGATAACACTTGCTATTACTATATAATAAAATTCTTCAAAGGCATTCCGACCTGATCTTGGCGTACGGATAGTTTGCATCTGATTGCACGTATTGCGCGTGTCAGAGTGTTCTCGCGCAAAACATAGTTTCAGAATCAGCGCTTGTATATAGCAGCTGCATTTGACTCGTCATGAACACTTGACGTTGATACGAACTAAAAATATGATACGAACTTTACCGAGTGACACTGCACAGACGTGAAAGTCAACAGCTTTCCGCATTGTGCGCATTCCATCCGCTGACGGTATCAATTGCCCCAGTTAGGTGCACGCTGGCATTGTGTGAGCAGTCAGGAGCCAGGACGAAATTGCGTATTAAGGAACCCGCGATATAATTGCGTATTAATAAGGAACCCGCGACGCAGCGAGCAATGGGAATAAAAATGGTAGGTGTAACATTAAGAGACAAGAAGAGAGCAGAGTGGATTAGGGAACAAACGGGGGTTAAGGATATCATAGTTGAAATCAAGAAGAGGAAATGTACATGGGCCGGGCATGTAGCGCGTAGACAGGATAGCCGCTGGTCATCAAAGGTAACTAACTGGATTCCCAGAGAAGGCAAGCGGGTTGGGGAAGACAGAAGGTTAGGTGGGCAGATGAGATTAAGAAGTTTGCGGGTATAAATTGGCAGCAGCAAGCACAGGACCGGGGCTAACTGGCGGAACATGGGTGATGCCTTTGTCCTGCAGTGGACATAGTCAGGCTGATGATGATGATGATGGTGGTGATGATGATGGTATATTTTAGTTTTTCGAAGTGCATGTTTCTTGAGTCGTCAGCATTTGGGACTCAAGAGACGCACACGTGCAGATACAGGAGCATATAAACAATGAACCTCCAGCATTGACCTAATGTAATAATAATATATGAGGTTTTACAGGCCAGAACCACGATATGATTACGAGGAATGCCATGTGGAGAGCTACAGCACTCGGG